GTGGGCTGCCCCGGTGCCCGTACCGCGGGGCCGGGAGCCGCCGTGCAGCCTGAAAGCAGGGCCGTGGCGAGGGCGGGTTTCCCCGGCACTGCGTTTCCGTTTGCCCTCAGCTTGGGCCTGGAGCTGGGGCTGTCCTAAGCCTGCCTGGAGCAAGGCGGGTGGGCAGAGAACCTGCGTGAAGACCTCTGCCTGCCCCCTCGGTGCCAGGCCTGAGCTGAGGCCTCCTGCTGCCCTCGCCCTGGCTGCAGCAGCTGCGAATCCACGTTGGCAGGGGGTCTGCTAGAGCTGAGAGTCACTGTAAGGCTTGCGCTGTGATTGCAACTAATACCTGTGGGGCAAGAGAGTCTGTAAGCTCAGTACAGAGAGGAAAGGTTGATTATGTTCCATTATATATGTTTTGACATCACACATGTAGGAGTTTGGCTAAACTTTATCCTTCCAGAGCACACAGCAGGAAAATTGCGCTTTACAGACAGTATAGAACACATTTTGTTCTCTCTTCACCTGTCACTTGTTTTTTCTGCACAGGTGAGCAGTGGGTGTTGATATGGACAGTGTTTCCTCAGGCTCTTCTCTGCAGTTCCTTGCCAAACTGCTTCATGATGCTCAAGAAGAAGATGATGATGATGATGATGAACATGGGGTGAGTCTTTCATAAGACATGCTGCTTCTCTTACATGTTGTACCATAGCCTAACCTTGTAATCTGAGGAGAAACAGATCTCTCTTTTACCAGAGTGAGTAAAAAGAGAATGAAAACCTTAGAAGGTTTTGGACTGACTGAAACAGCTAGAAGTTATTTTTAGAGTAACAAGCTCTTGAAGGAGAGAATAAGGAAAATGCCCCAGGAAAACAAGGAGAGATTGTGACCACAAAGTGGGAGGGAGATTTAAGTTTTCAGCCTGAAGGAAATAAGAACACATAGTTGAAAGAGCTTTAGATACTTTAGAGTTCCCCCTACTTTTCCCTGAAGTCTACCAGAGATGAAGGTAATTAGAGCTAAATACTTCATATGAAGGGAAAAAAGTTGCTGCTCATCTTCTGAGTAAAGTAATATCCGGAAGCGACTGAGTGTGCTAATTCTGTGTTAGGCATTGAAGAACTGTAGAGATAATTGACCCTTGAAGTACCATAGATATGTTGGTGACTGTAGAATAGGGAAGGTTGGGTAATCATTCTAAGGTGAATGATTTGAATGATTAATGAGAGAAATACCTTTCCATTCTTCTATATAATTCATCTCAGGACTAGATGAAAATCACAGCTTTTGGAAAATATATGTTGTTCTTGCAATATGTAACTGCTTTTATCTAGGCACACGTGTGTGCTGAGGAGAAATATCCCCGGGGGCCACAGGCGGCAACAATCACAATGTAGAAGGCCTCTGTGAAGGCTCAAAACTTTGCCAATTCTCTTAGGATTTTGAACAAGTCACATTATGACTTGCATGACAAAAATGGCAAATGCCTCAGTGCTTTTCCAAATCACTCCTCAGCAAAGAGCCAGCTGGATGACCCAGCAGTTGTGCACTAGTAGTGGCAATGATAGTAATATTTGGGATAAAAGGGATGTATATCCCTTGAAATTTCCTTTCAGTAGGCGGTGGATGTGGTCCTTCACACTAACTACCCGTCAGCTGTTTAATGCCTGCCTTTTAAATTAAATGCCTAGCATTATTGCTGTACATCTTTGCAGTAAACATCCTGATTTTAAAAGAATTTGTTTACATCTTATTAATAAAATGAATGACACTTCAGAGACAGAAATGAAAAATTGCCACAAGGGATGTCAATTAAATCTGAGTCAGTCTGGTGAAATTGAAATCTTTAATTTGATTTAATTTAATGTTCTGTGCATATGAGGCACAATTATCAAACGAAGGAATCTTCATATGTAGAGAAATGCCTCACATTTGCCTATTAGCACTAAATGGATTCATAATTAGAGGAAAATGTTGTTGCCTCATATGATCTCTACTGTCAAAAGGAATCCAAATGCTCTGATGGGGTTTTCACGTAGCACCCTTGGTTTCCTGCAATGTTTTCATGGCAGGCAATGCATGGAAATTTTGCCAAAATGCCGTGGAAACTAATACTCAAAAAGCACATCTGTCTAATACTGTGCTTCTGGGAGTCCTGCTTAAACCCAGTGTGTCAAGGTCACTTTCTGCTGTGTGAGAGTGAAGAAGAGAGAATGTTCAGTGGTTCGGTCATGAAATTGTGGGATAATATTTTTTGGATTCTAGCAGGGATTTCTTTGACCTCAGATAACATTTTATATTTATTGACATTCTTGTTGTTACTGAGCTGGGCTCTATGAAAATTGATTGAAGTTCCATTTGCTTTTTTTGCAGCCACACTGTTCCGTTAGCGCCATGACTCCTGGTAGTATTGGGCCAGTAAAGAAAGAGACCGCTGGTAAGGAGAAGTGTTTGTATGTTTTAGCATTCAGTCCCATGTTAGCAGACTATAACAGCTGTAGTAAGTTACCACTGATCAGGTTTGCTTCAATAAGAGAGTGGTCACTGACCTTTGAGATGGAAATAGCATTACATTTTTACAATTACACTGTAAAATTCTTCTTTTCCTGAAAGCTTAACTGCAAAATATACAAAGAGAAGCAGAAAGGGTGACCAGAGCACATCAGCCTCAAGTGGCGATGATAAACAGAGTACAGAGCACAGCCTGGTCACAGGCGGAGGGGAATCATAACTGAACAGCAAAAAGCTCCATATAAGTACTCTCATGGAATTGTTAATGCTCAACTTAGAGCAAACAAGGAAGATGGACTTCTAAGTACTCACCTGAAAGGATCTTCATGGAGTAAACTGTGTGGAACTGAGCCTATGCCTATGAGGAGGAAGAGCTATGAAGTGTACTGTGAAACGCAGTCATACCATATTCCCCCCAAAAGTTTCACAACCCTATTTAGACCACATGGGAAGAAAAAGAAGCTTTGTTCAGTGCTGTCCTCAACAGACCAAGAGATTTTTTTCAGTTATTCTCCTTCCTGCACCTAGTTCTTTGCCTGGAAACCCCAGACAATTATATGCTTTAACTGACTCCAGGTGTTCTGGCATCATATAGAAAGGCAGACTCTCAAACAATGAGAACAAATATCTTGAGAGTTCCTAAATTTGTGTCAACATCTTGGATTGTACTCAGGAAAGAAAGGAAGACAAGTTTAGTCTTGGCAAAGTTAAAGTTCTTCCTGGAGCTAATGCTGTCACATTATTGGGCAGCTTAGTTATGAGCCATAAGAAAGGTCAACAAGGACCGGGATGAGTGTAGCAGGAAAGGAACTGGGGCGAATATAACAAATAGAGTATTTTTGCTTGGGATTCCAACAATAACCAGTGATTCTATTATAAAAACCTTCAAGTTGCAGATTTACCAGCTCATTAGAAAATATGTTTTTCCATGTAGGCCAGGCATAAACCATAGTATTCTGCCTATGAACTTTCATGTGTCTTCAGTACTTTATCTGGGCTGTGCTCAGTAATTAATGGGAAGAACTGGATTTCTATGTGAGGAGGAGGTCCTTTTGTATATGACTGTGCTCACTTAAAAATCTCATGTGAGGGGGCTTGGGGAAGATTGATTTTTCATCCGTCTACACTTTACCCATTTTGAAGTGCTTGACATTTTATGCCTGAAAGGAGGATTTCCTTGACATAGAGGTTGGGTGAAGGAGATTTAAGGGAAAGGGAGAGAAAACATCCTCCCTCTGCAAATTCTCATTCATAAGATACTGAGGTGAAGGAGACTGTAATCATTAACTAGAATGCTTTTAATACAAAAAATTTTTCTAAAGCCTAGAAAAATCTAAGTTTTCAGCAAACCTAGAGGAACAGAGACATTCCAAAATATGACAGTGTGATTTTTCTCATCACTTACAGGTACTTTTCAAGTGAAATCTGAAAACAGGAAAACTATTTGGAATACAGAGGAGGTCCCAGAAGGATCTGAATTTGATGATACCTGGGACCCTAGAGAACAGCCAGAGTAAGTGAGCTGCAACTGCCTGTATGGGATTTACATAGCATTAATGGAAATATGAGTTAAACAGCACCTACTGCATTTCAGTGAAACAGCCATTTGAAAAGCTTGTGTCATGGAAGGAGAAAGGAAGGATATTGGTGTTGCATCTAAAACAGCACGTGAGGAGTGATTTTAACCTCTCCCTTGGAAAACTTCTGATCTCATAACAGAAATGTAGAGCTGGTTTTTCTCATCATAAGATTACTTGCAGGTTGATACACTTGTGTAAAGTGAGATCAGGAGGAGAAGTAGGCCAGCAAAATTATTTACTAGATTTCAAATATGCCATTTGGGTGAAATACCTGTCTTTTCCCGCTGCAACCGAGATGCATTCATTTTTCATACTCATAAATTCATAAAGTACTTCAAATATTTGCATTTCAAAGAATTAAGCTCTCTAGAGACAAATAGTACTACAGGAAGGAAGGTTATATGCAGGCAGTTTTGAACTTTAAATCTTGTCTTCAATCTTAGTCTGTCAAGGGACAGCCTAAAATCAGTCTTTTCCCTTGCTTGTAGAAAAACAATAATAAAAACATTCTTGAAATAGCTACAATCAGGCATGTTAGTTGTAGTTTGTAGAGGTCAGAAAGCCTTCAGGGTCAATCCACAAAGCAGCCTTTGCATTTCTAATCATTGTGTTCTGATACCATATCCTGGACTGCTAAATGCTGGAGCAGATGGACTGAAGCCTATGAAGCTGCATATTGTACGCTAGTTTGTAGTCCAGAATCCTCATTTTTCTCTGCACATAAGTCATGCCATTAGGTGTTCAATTTCCTGACCTAAACACGGGACTGAGACCCACTTGAACTTAGACTCAGCATTTCTGAAAATGATTTGGCATTCACCAATAGCCTCACATACAGTGGTTCTTGAAACCGTCACCTGTGAGGTATAGAACATGCTCTCTTTGTATTGTGGGCACAATGGAAGCTTTTCTCATGCCATCTTTTGACCCTTCCCCTCCACGCTGGGTGAAATGCAGTGTTCTCTAGCCTCAAGCAATTATGACCTGTCTTGCACAGATGAAGAGAGTATGAGTCTTTCTAAAAATTCATCAAATTGAATCAAGGAAAATGGCCCAAAAGGAAAACAGATGGCTAGAGAGGTGCATCCAGAGCTATTAGACAGAATTCTCATTGACTTAGGAATTATTACATACACATGTGAACACTGGAGATGTGAAAGACTTTCCATACAC